GAATGGTCCCTCCAGACCAACGTTTAAATCAAACAATTCTCCTCGACCAGCGAAGCCACAACCGACAAATGCGGTCTGACCCGCGTCATTCTTTAGCAGAATTACAAAGTATCTTGATGAATCAGTGACCGGCTCAATACACACGCCCGGAAAGGCATCAATTGGGCACTTTGCGTAGAGGGCACCTAAACAGTCATTGATCATCGACGTTGTTCTTCTTTCGAAGGACAAACACTAAGGTACCAGGTAATGATCGACCAGTAATGAAGAGAGCAAGTGAAGAACTACTAGGAGTGTGAAATCGATAAAGATCGTTACACTTTCTCATTCGGGGATGCCTTCATCGTATCAAGAGATACATTCGGTACTATTTGCGGTTTCATGGAAAGGGTATGACGTATGAGAGGGTGGAATGCCCTCTACCCTTATGTAACGGTGGAATGTGATATTTCAATTGCGATTTCAATTGCGCAGCAATTCGGTTTTCTTTTTGTTATCATCTACCACCATATCCAGTTCTCACTTTTGAGCACAACAGCTAGGCAATCACGGTATGACTTTTCGAAGGCATGTTGCGTGGGAGCAGAGGTAATGTAGGTTTTCACCATGAATACTTACAACCACACATCAGGAGGAAGATATGTGACTTAATTTTTTTTACCACGAGACGCCTCTTCGTTTTGTTAATAGTGCCGTACTTATGAATCGAGCTGTTGCAGGGAGCAAAATATCTACTACTGGAAATGTATCAATAGTGTTGGTCTTGTCCTCTATGTCGAAATTCTGCGCAATCAATGCATTCCACACGAGAGAGGTATGAAAGCCTGAAATCTATACGCGGGGTTGACTTTCAGTCGTTACTGTTGAGAGTTGGAAGAGGGCTTAGACACACTCCTCAGAATGTTGGGGGGGGGGACGGAGGGGGAAGGAGTCGTAAAACGCTCGTAAACCAAGGATGTTTTGTCTCACGAACAGCCTCTCAGGCTACGTGCCTACCTTTCACGAGGCCTCAATTAACTATAAAATGTATCAAAACTGAATCATGCTTGAAAATATTAACTAGACAACAAATTAATTAGAGCGGTGGTGAAGCCAAGATTTACAAAAAAAAACAAGATACCTGTTGATTTGTCCTCCAGTCGGAGTTCTAGTCGTTTGCCAATTGCAACCAGTTTCATGCGCCCCGTCCAATCAGGTGCATCCAGTTTCCAGTCTGCTGCTCTAAAAACAATTTAGGTTTTATTTGACGTCGGAGCCATCTCCGACCAAGAGAAACGCTTTCTCATGTAACATATCGCCGTGTCCAGCTCCTAATCGACTAAAAAGATGCCACGTGAGTAGATGGTTTTTTACTGAAAACTAATGCTGGCCAAACTGCACCGGTAAAGTCAAGCCACACGACACTAGGAACGAACCCTACCGAACAGCAGCCTTATATAGCCGACATTATCACGTGAGAACAAAAACTTCGCCCTTATTGGACACAACACAAAAATCTCTTTCTCATATAAAGGGCGCTGTAAGTAAAAACTCATGTAAAGTTCAACGAACACATTCCAGGTCGAATAACTCGAGATTGAGAGCGGAGATAACAGAGAAACGCTGAGAGGGAAGAACAACAATGCCGATGGAAACCACGGCATCTGGAAGACGCATCTTACGTTCGTGTTATCCGCACCCTACCCAGCCATTCATCGTTTCACCAGGAGCCGTTTACTATTCACAATTGCTTAAACGTTGCTTCATATGCAATACGTCCGCAATTCCTCATGCGCGTAACCCACAAGTATTCTTTCGCCTATTTTGGAATGAATCTTCGCTCAGTTCACTTTTCCTCTTGTAATAAGCTTAGCACTTAATATCTAACAGTTTCGTGCAACTTGCACAACGGCGGTGTACAGGAGTGATGATTCATAGTTAAAGATGATCAGCACCAACAATAACAATTCTCAAGCTAATTAATGCAGTTAGCCGAGTAGATTATTCATTGAAGCTGACAATGAGAAAACAACGGCGAAATATTGATTGGCTTCCAAATTCTTATGTTCATATCAAATCTACACTGTAGAGGTTAATGTTGCAGAAGGAAAAGAATAAAACGAAAACATTAAAATAGTTGCAAAGTTAAATAACAAGCGAGTAAATGAATTTAGAAACGCGAAGATGAACTGTATTGTAATACAAACTTACTTGTGTCCTCGATTTGTTCCGAGAGGAGGAATCCTGTAGACAAAAATCTCCGGCTTGACCAACGAAACGCTCTCGTATTCCTCGTCCATTCCTGCCCCAATCCTGAAGAAGTCATTCTAATGTTTACTCTAGCGGTTTCGCCGTGGTAACAATCAATCGATGCTAATAGTTATAATGTAATCGAACGATAAAATGTTCTAGACAAGACACGGCTTAAAAATTACGACGATTAGCCACAGAATGAGTAGAACAGTCGCAGGTGCGAGGCACGCACAGTTGTAGCAGGGAGATCTTTTGCGCGACGACTGCGATTTGCAATCGCGGGTCGACGAACTTGACATCATAAAAACAATTCAACTCCTAAACAATTATGCAGGGCGACTCGTATAGGTGGACGTCAAGACGGACAGCCCACAGGAAAAACGTCTCATTTAGCAGATGCACGCGAGCTTCACCTTCCAAATGGGCATGTAACTTCGATCCGTGCACTTCCAATGTTTGCCATACAAGGAGTGGGTTGCCCATAGCTGCCTCCCAAAAACTAGCCACACATTCTGGGCGCACGATAAGAAGACAGACAAAGATGGTTCCTCTGAGAACGATGATTAGGGCTAGTGTTCTGATGTCCGCGCAAGTCGCGGAGGAATCACAGGAATGCATAAGCACCCGATCATACTGCGAGGTGCTCCACAATCTCGCCGCCATTCTGCTTAGTGGTGATGGTTGACCGACGACTGCTCATGATACTACTTGTTTCACATCCGTGTTTTGAATGTTGAGATGGGGCAATAGCGAATTTTGCGATCCGCGCGTATCGCGCGACGAATCGCGGACTCTGAACCTGCCTTGTGCAGCAGTGGTCCACAGCGGTGGGCATAGTGTCGTCAGGATGAACGTGAGTCGATCGAGATTATTTGCCCCTTTGCTTTGCCTTTGCTGAAGTACTAACTGACTTCAATCAGTACCAAATCAGCAGCCTACATGTCATAATAGGACAAGTGTGTTGCTTCTAACTCACCCACAGATTCATCCTTTCAAGTTTACATTTCTCCTCCTCTTAAACCGCACTTTGATAGAGACATGCACAAAAAAAACAGCGGTTACTTTACAAAGAGTGCACAAATGCGCTAACTTTTTCTAGTCAGAACAAAAAGGAGTATATGGTTACATACCGATCTCAATTATCGCGTGTTCGTTTACCGGATACCTGCCTATCGGATGAAAAAACGCCTTATTCAAGGTGCAACAACACGAAACACGGAGCATGATCAGCGATCCTGAAGCCAAGGTTGCATCAACGCATCGCGAAGTAATGGTGGGTTGGAGAACCAACCAAATTTTGCAACATTTTCAAGCCTGCGCAAGTCTGATGCGTGCCACCCCCATAAACTTATTGAGTGGACAGAGAAGAACAGTTGTCCGAAAACAACAAAAAAGTTGTCTAATGAAACAGTAAGAGAAACAAAACAGTGAAATTAATGGTCATAGACTATTTGTGGGTTGAAGAGCCGATGAAGTGTTAACAACGCTACCATCATTTGTGACAATAACAAAGAAACAGGGATTTCTGTGAAGTGAAACATACTTCCTCATCACGCAGAAAAACAATCACAAATGAAACAAAGGAGATTCCGGAATTACTAATCAAGGATCGATTAATCTCCAAGAGGAATTCGTCAAAATTTCGTCACCACAACATTTGTGAGAGTTGTCCGGAACACTCGCCTTGCGGATCGCGAAGGAAAGAAAAAACATTTCCTTGCATACTTCCAGCTTTGTTGAGGGAGGAATGCAATTGCATTCAACAAAATCTTGTGAACAGTGTGGAATTCCCAGCGGATCTCATTGTCAAAACAATTTTCTTCAATGAGGAGGAGCAGTTGTCGCCTATCGCGTATTATCTGTGATTACGGCGGCTACATGGAAAGGCGTCGATTTAATAAAGATGAAGCAAGGCGCGGATTATGGCTTGGTTCTCTGGTTAATTTAAGAAATCTTGAGGTGTGTCTTCTAATATGTTCACCTTTTCGTTTCGAAAGGATTTCTCTGGGTTTATCGTTCTCGGATACGGACTTGAAGGCGTTCCTGCTGATGAGGTTTTTTTTCTGTGAAAGATAGGGCTAAGGCGGTTCCGGAGTTAGTAGTCGGGTTCCATGAAGGGACGCTGAACGCTGTAATATGAATTATATTGGTAACGAGCCCTGGAATCTTTCGTAATAAGGAGTGACGGAGCCGCTACAACCGGTCAAATGGGGGATTAGTTCTTCTTTTTGAAATAGGCTTCAAAACAAAGGAATTGACGTTTCAAATAGAACAGTGCTGTATTTTTGAAGTTCAAGTGTTTGCTTTTTTGATCTCGTTTTGTTGGCGATTTCCCTCATATACAAAATGTCCAAATATTGTTAGGTCGGGTTTTTTTCAGCTTTTACATTTATCTCACCTCTTGTTTGAAAGACCTTCCATATGTGGGAGTACTCTTTTCCAAGCTGAGCAAATAATTATCCGGAGAATTGCATAGCACAGCGGTCTGTCTACTTTTTGTTTATGAGCTAGCAAAACCCGAAATATTCTCTAAATTTCAGTTTCAAATACTTTTTCAAGAGGTGTCACATTGAAAACGTCATGGGCTAAGTGATCTTCCCTGCCTGTAGTCGAACCTGGACCTACACCGCTTTATCTAAGAGTGCCATTACACTTCTATGACCATTCAGGCTAAAGCTGGCTTTGCTTCAAATAGATTTGTAGTCTGAGCTGCTGTCACTTAATCGAAGCTTTGTGTCTGAATTGTGTGAATTCAGTCAAAGTTTTCAGGTCTTGCATTTCTCAGGATGGACGGGTCATCCATGGCTAGCACAAAGGACACAGCTGGCGAGAGCAGTGATACGGCGTCCACAAGCTACCAGCCGTGTGAGTATAAGTACTCCCATGTTTATCTCAATTACGATGCTAGGATGAACTTGTAAATTGTAGTTCCGGAAATGAGCGCCGAACAAGAGTTCTTCCTCTATGAGTTGGAATCAACAGATTCCGGCAGTATAGGTCTCGTGCTCAGGTTTGTCCTTGCTTTTCTATCTAGTCATGTTCTTTCCAAAAACCAATAGAAGGGTTGAAAAGTAATGCCAAAAGGCTGGTGTATGACGCGACGATAGAAATTATAGTTTACGTCATATTATTCAGCCGAATATCCTTTGATTTGGACTATTAAAAGCATGCCCTAGGACCAAACTGTGTGATTCTTGAACGATAACGATTGCAAAATGGGCTTACAATGAAGAAAAAGGAAAATAACTTTCAAAACGCTTAGGTTAAGGGCTCACTCACCTTCCAATCGGCTGTGCTAAGGGAATGAGAGACTAAGCGCGGAGAGGAGAGTATGAGGCGAGAGAGCGCAACAGATGAGAGGGCGCCAGACAACAGCCTGATAAAAGAAAAAAACTGCAGCTGCTGCAGCTTACTTTGCAAGGCCCTAGCGCTCTTGTCGGTGGTTTCCGTGCACGGGAATGCCACATCTGTGATTGTCCTCTAGGGTCTATACTACAGACCGAAGGGAAGCGTTCACACGACTTCTGCCTGGTTGTGCCTTTAACACTGCTTATAATCGTGAGGAAGAGTCCATGTCTCGCCGGAGTAGACGTGTCCCACACTTGATAGAATTCGCCTGGATGAGCTGTTTCCATAGGAAACATCTTATCCGCGCTACTTCTATCAAGTGTAGCGGCCGCCACGTCATTTCCAGTGGAACGCCTTCTATTGCAAGGTATGGACTGTAGTATTAGTCTTCTATAGACTCAAATATGCTCACTTTTTCAGTTTCTGGTATTGTAAGTCGACATCATGTTTACAGGGCCATATATGACTGTGGTGATGTTAGGAAATTCAGTCGTGCCCTTGAGCACAGAATTCATCAGTATGATAGGAACATCCAAAAGGTAAGCGGTTCTGGCTAAATATTTTAAATGTTTTGGGAAAGTTACTTAATTTAATTGTATTGGGAAAGTGTTACGGTGTAGAATTCCGCTTGGGACTAAGGTATCCATTTCCTTCTGTATCAGCCGCTTCTTACCCTCATTATCAAATTACTGGTGGTATGAGGAGTCTTGTAGACTGATGCATGAGTGGGTTGGAATATGAGGTATCCTCCTTAAGGGCGTGCTTTGTTAATTTCTTCGCAAGCGCATTTCAAAGTGAGTCAGTTGAATTGCATTTAAATTGTTTCTTTTTCAAGGAATTTTACAGGTGTGTTCTTTTCACTACCAAGGCTTTGTGGACTCTATGAAAGAGCTTTTGTTGCTCAAGGAGCGATGCAGCGACATAAAGGTGTGTAGTAATTTCTGCTGCGTTTCATCGATGTATCTTTTGTTCCTCTTTACAGCAAGATGCTGCTGCTATTGATTCTCAAATCCAAGCCGCCAGCGAGGATCTATCGAAGAAAAGCCAGGAAATAGTTAAGTATAGGTGCGTATGCCAGTAAGAATAAATCCTTCTTTCCTCACATATTTGAGCAATAAGGTAGTGTGAGGTGCATCGTGAGGCTTTGGAGGGTCTCATAGGAAACTGCGTGAGCAAACAGATTTATGATCTTAAATAAACCACGTCCTTAACCAATGGGTCGAAATATAGCTTAGCTGGCATAGTGGAAGGAGATCCCAACGGTGTAATCTATAGGAAAAAAGGTTGAGTAGACGAGCATTTAACAGCTTTCTGCAGTTAACTACGAGCATATAACAGCTTTCTGCAGTTAACATTCGCCATCTAATAGATCAAGGCTAACTCTTTGATGAATAATCTTTGTTCAGAAAGCTTGTGAAGAACGCATCTACTGCCATCGATCAAATATCGGTATGTCTTCCGGTGTTGGAGAATTACGCAAAGTTACAAGAACTTATGCAACTCAAAAAGTAAACATTCAGCCTCATTTTGGTTCTATGGTATTTAGTTTACTCGTTAACTTACAGATACTACCAAGCCCTCAAGGTCTTGGAGGAGTTAGAACACACTCATTTAGCGCTTGTAGAGAAGTATCGCTTCACCCAGATTCTGGCGAAGACCATGTCTCCAGTAAGGAATGAGATCAAAGCCAAGGTTTGAACCCTATGCAACGTGACTGATACTGTTTTGATCTGTCTTTTGGTCTTAATTATGTTTCTTCAGGCATATTCCGAGTTCAAGGATTTCCTCGAAAATGTCAAGAAGGTAGCATGTCGGATCGGAAGACACGCTAGCCGATGCGTATGTCAATTTATTTGCCCCCGGAATCTTTGAGTCATCGTTCTCGTCTATTTAGACCGCTGAGCAGCACTCTTTCGGTGTTAGTGAAGCAGAGCGAGCTCGAAGGCTGCAGCAGGAGGCTAAACAGTATGTTAACTCCTCGGGCCTTACTTAACCTAGTGGTAGAGGCACTGCCTGTTTTTGGCCCCTTCCAAATTCCTCTGTATTTGTTTTTCTTTCACTTGTTTATTCTTGCCAAACTTTTATTCGAAGCAAAGGCGGTCTTTGTGTTTCGATTCTTGATTCTTTACTTACTCTTTTTTTTATTTCTTGAGAACTTTTTTTTATTTTCCTCCTTTACCCTGTGTTTCAACTCGTCTCTGTGAAGCCAACCCTCATAAGATTTGCTCTGATCGGCATTTTTTAGAAAGGTGATTGATGTGGAGATTGCTGTTTCTGCTGATGGGCGACTGCTGAGAAAAAACACATCGAACGGGACAGCTCCCATTCTTTCTCAGGACAGTCTTGAGGTCTTTCTTTTTTCATTTTCTATTAGGTTTTTTGTTTTTGTTTTTTCATTTGTCGGCATATTTATGCCGTAGTTTTGAACTGCTGATTTGATACTAATTCAGACATGAAAGTATCACTCAAGACCTCATTGATTTCACACCGGTTCCATAGTATGCCATTTTTCTTTGTACGTGAGCGAATGTCTGCTTTCAACTCGAGCCTTTTAGTGCGCCCAGATTTTCAATGTGTTAGGAGCTAAAGAAGAGTTTGATGTGTATTATCGTCAACAAAGAAAGGACCAGTGTGATCTCGTTATTGAGCCGCCTTCAAAGGTTTGCTCCGTACCTTTTTTGTATAAAGGAAATATAGATCACTTTCTTCTAGATGAACTCTCTGAAGCACTACGTGGACTATCTCGATGAAATCATCGGTTTCTTTGTAGTTGAAGACCAATATAATCATCACAGAACCCACTCTTGTCACATCATCACACAAAGATCAACTTTGGGAGAGCGCTCTCAAGAAGATTGTTCATACAATGAACACGCATTTCGTAAGTCTCCGATATTCGTCAGCTTGCTGTAATCCCCTATATTTGTAAGAAAATAAGTCAAACCATGACAGGGAGGGCTGCCCTGATGTGGAGATGATGCTGCGAATGAAGAAGGTGATTCTTCTGTTTGCGCTCACAATGAAATCGTACGGGTATGGCATTGGTCCACTGTATTCGTTGCTGCAGAATTTCAGGTAATTACTCCCATTTTCTTATTATTCACCAGTCTTTATCCAAGTTTTTATTTCCCAATTGCACGTCACCCAACGGGTGTTCGTTAGAAATTGGTACTACTTAATCTTCCAACATTATTTAATAAATTCAAAAGCCCGTAGAGGGTCGCGCCTAGGACCTATTCTACCATAGCTGTTTGGTTGATAAATTGATTTTGAAGGAGAGGGAGGATTGGAACTAGCTCATTTTCAGCGGCATTGCAAGCAGTCGTATGGCATATGGTATTCAAATGCCACTGCTATTCCATGAATGGAGGGCAGAATGCCGCGCGCGTCTCTAGGAGGGGTTTACAAATGTCCAGGTTCTTTTATTTCGATTGAGCCAAAACTTTTTTGCTCCTTTAGGGTTTCTGATGCAAATAAAAGTGGTACCAAACTTGTCCACCCTTGGTCTTCATTTAAATTGTGAACCTTGGTTTTACAGAAATTGAAAATGACTTACATTTTTCAGAGACCAGTACAATGAAATCTTAATGAGTGAGTACTGTGCTCAGTTTGAGCGAGATCTTGAAAAGGATAACTACGCACCGATAAATGTCGAAAACGAGGAACAGTTCCGAGCGATCATAAAGGAGTTCCCCTTCTACAAAAGGAGCATGGAACAGGTTCAGTTTCCACTCAGCCTTAAGTTGGCCGCTTTCTAGATAGTCTAAGCTTGGCATTCTATCTCAAAATCGTGACTAAACCGTAACGGTGAAACAGTTGAGCTAGAACGCGTTTCCTTTACACTGAGCAAATACAGCCAAGTTGCAGGAACCGTTTCCTCGGAAGTTTCCTTACTCTCGATTTGTTGTGTCTGCTTATTCCAAAGGCCAAGTTGTACCTTCAAGGATGTTTAAAGTTCATGGAACATCTTCAGCTGACCCACTCTGAAATGGATGATACCGTGAGAAGGTGTGCATACTCTTTTTGCGACACACTACTTGTTTCCATTTCTTTAATTTGCTTTTTTAGAATTCTTTGTGATATTATAGATATGCGAACGTGTTGCTTTCTCGTTGGTCTGGAAGTTTGAAGTCGTTTGTGGAGAGGAAACTTTCTCTAGTGCAGGTTTGTTTCAATTTTTGCTATGGTTTTTGAAGGCTGACATAGGTAATAACTTCTTTGCAGTTGGTGCAAATTACAATCAACATTGGCTACCTGGAAAAATCATGCGAATCTCTGGGAGTGTATATCACAAAGTTAACGAGCGGCAACGAACTGAATGTGTCAATGACGGCTCATCAGCTCTCTTTGACGGAGCGAGTGTTTCGGGATGCCAGAAGCGAGGTTCTCCTAAATTGCTGTTGGCCGTTCCTCCTATTCTTTGGTCACTGTATGTTCTTTTCAGGTGGAACAGCAGATTGAAGTGTGCATTCGAGATAAGGTTGACGCCTTCATCGAGTTGGCACAGTATGACTGGGAGCTGCCTGCCTCATCAGGTGCTTCTAAATACATTCATCCTTGATCTAAGATTCTCATTGCATTGTGGGCCTTCTGTAGTCTTTGCTGTGTTTTATGAGAAGTGGCTTTCCAGGTCATGCTTCTGACTATATTAGTGACCTAATTAACTATTTATCGACGACATTTCTATCTTTCACAAATCTTCCATCGGTTTTGGCTCGCCATGTTTGTATGCAGGTACAAAATTTGTGGCTTTTTTCACTTCGCATGGTTCACAATAAGCGGTCGGCTATTATCTCGAGGTTTTTTGTTCAAAATATGCTTTACAGACGTGCAAGCATTTGTCCTCACGGCTCTCGGATGTGCTATTGTCCCCTGATGTTAAAGCTATCTCAATGGGAGCCCTAGAACAGTTCAGTTTGGACGTTATGCAGTGCGAAATGTTCACAGCAAGATGTCCCGTTGCCGGTTTTGACCATAATACGCTCCCGATGACCTTTGCACACTTGAGGTTGGTTTAGCTTTGTTTTTCTCTTGTTCTAGTGCTCCTCAATCAGACTAGCCTTCCGAAATCTAGTTGTAATTCCTATGGATGAGATTCCGCAAAGGGGTCGCAAAGAGCATGTTCTGGTCCGGTTTTTGAGTCTTCAAAGTTACAGTAGTTTTGTGGCGGCCACGCTGTTTTTAAATGATTGCACTGATTT